CTCCACCTCCTGGGCTCAGGTAATCCTACTTCCTGGGCCTCCTGAGTAGCTGGGACTGCTGTTGGCCACGAAGCCCTGCTAATTTCTTGATTTTTTGTAGAGATGAGATCTCACTATGTTACCCAGGCTGGTCCTGATGAGTTCATCAGAAAAGTGGGCGTAGACAAAGAAAAAAGAAGGCAGCCACTGACCTCAGTGAGCGACCGCATCATACCGGTGATCTTGACAGAGTGGGCTCCGGGGGCGACGACCTGACCGGAGTGGATTCAAGAGAGAACGGTCGTGGGGAAACTGACCTTGCTGAGTAAAAAGATCCTTTGGGAGGTTTTGCTGCAAAGGGAACAGAGATGGGACAGTACTGAGGAAGGGGAGTGGGTCAAGAGAGAAACAGCCTTGCATTTGAGCTGATGGAAAGGGTTCCAGAGAACTTGAAACATTGTTGATGTGATGAGAGAGACCAAATTGCTGAGCAGACAACCTGAAGTGGTGATAAGGGGAACCAGCATAAGGGGTAGTGCCTCTTCGGGAGAGGTGGGTAGGGATGGCTTCTCTGGTGGGTGTCCTTTGAGCACAATCCTGGAGGTAGGCCGGGAGCAGTGACTCAAGCCTGTAATCCCAGCACTTTGGGAGGCTGAGGCGAGAGGATTGCCTGCGTCCAGGGGTTCGAGACCAGCCTGGGCAACTTGATGAGACCTCGTAACTACAACAGATCAAAAAAATTAGCCAATCATGGTGGCATGCACCTGTGGTTCCAGCTACTTGAAAGGCTGAGGAGGACGGATTGCCTGAGCCCAGCAGGTCGAGGATGTGGTGGCCGTGAGCGTGCTGCTGCACTCCAGCCTGGGTGACCGAGTGAGAATCTGACTCAAAAAAGAAAGAAAGAAAGAAACCTGGAGGTAGTGAGAGAGCGAGCCATGTGGTTTCTGGAGAGAGTACATTTCAGGAAGAAGGAACGGCAGGTGCAGAGGCCCTGAGGTAGGACGGACTGATGTGCTGAAGGGACAGTGTGGTTGGATTGGACTGAGTGGAGGGGACAATGATGGAACTTCCGGATAGACACAGGCAGAACATATGGGACCTAGTAAGCCATGATAAGGTCTTTGGCTTTTACTCTGTGAGAGATGATATTTGTAGGCAGGTTCTGGACAAAGGCAAGATGGGCTCCACTCTTTTTTTTTTTTTGAGTTGGAGTCTCACTCTGTCGCCCAGACCGGAGTGCAGTGGCTGCTCCCGGCCACCGCAGCCTCGCCTGATGGGCTCCGGCGATCCTTCCGCCTCAGCCTTCCAAGTAGCTGGAACTACAGGCGTGCGCTACCACGTCCCGCTAGTTTTTTATTTATTGTAGAGATGAGGTCTCGCCAAGTTGCTTGGGTGGGTCTCGAACCCGCGGGCTCAGGCAATCCACTCACCTCAGCCTCCCAAAGGCGCAGGATTACAGGCTGAGCCACCGAGCCCGGCTGGGCTCCACTCTTAACAAGATCATTCTGGCTGCTGAGTACAGAATAGAATCATCTGGCCATGGTGGTTCATGCCTGTAGTCCTTACACTTTGACAGGCTGAAGGCAGGAGGATTGCTTGAGCCCAGGAGTTCAAGACCAGCCTAGGCAACATAGCGAGACCCGGTCTCTACAAAAAACAACAACAAAATTTAGCGGAATGTAGTGGTGTGCACCTGTTGTCCCAGCTATTTGGAGGCTGAGGTGGGAGGATTGCTTGAGCCCAGGAGGTAGAGGCTGCAGTGAGCTGCAATCATGCCACTGTACTCCAGTCTGGGAATCAGAGTGAGATACTAATTCAAAAAAAAAAAAAAAAAAAAAGAAAGGAAAAGAGAAAATAGAATCAGGATGACAGCAAAAGCTGGAGGCACAGGGGGCTAGCACAATGATCCAGCTGTGAGAGAAACACAGAAGTCAAAGACAATGCCAGGGTTTGGCCGAAGCAACAGGAATGACGGACATGCCCTTGACTGAGATGAGGCAGGCCAAGAGTCTGACTTTCAGCATGTCAAATTAAGATGCTTGTGGCCGGCTCAGTGGCTCAGCCTGTAATCCCAGCACTTTGAGAGGCTGAGGTGAGTGGATTGCCTGAATCTGCGGGTTTGAGACCAGCCTGGGCAACTTGGCGAGACCTCATCTCTACAATAAAATAAAAAACAGCCAGGCATGGTAGTACGCGCCTGTAGTTCCGGCTACTCGGAAGGCTGAGGCGAAAGGATCGCTGGAGACCCGCAGGTTGAGGCTGCAATGGCCATGAGTGTGCCACTACACTCCAGCCTGGGTGAAGGAGTGAGACTCCAACTCGAAAAAAAAAATTAAGATGCTTGTTTATAGCCGGCTTGGTCACTCGGCCTGTAAACCCGCGCCTTTGGGAGACTGAGGTGAGTGGATTGCCTGAGCCCGCGGGTTCGAGACCCGCCTGGGCAACTTGGCGAGACCTCATCTCTACAAAAAAGCAAAAATCAGCCGGGCGTGGTAGCGCGTGCCTGTAGTTCCAGCTACTTGGAAGGCTGAGGCGGAAGGATCGCAGGAGCCCAGCAGGTCGAGGCTGCGGTGGCTGGGAGCGGCCACTGCACTCCAGTCTGGGCAACAGAGTGAGACTCCAACTCAAAACAACACCAACAACAACAAAAAAGATGCTTGCTTATTCAAGTGGGGACGTCAAATGGGCCACTGGACATTTGAGTCTAGACCTTGTGGGAGAGGTCAGAGCTCAGATAGGTAAACTTGGGGGCAGGTGGAAAGAAACAAATGGTTTTTAAGGCATCAGACTGGATGGGCTCACTTAGGGAGAGTGTGTGGCTAGAGAGAAGTCTGCATGCACCTCTTGAGAATATCAACTTGAGATTTGGACGTGGTGACTCCTACCTGTAATCCCAGCACTTTGAGAGGTGGAGGCAAGAGGATTGCCTGAGCCTGGGGGTTTGAGACCAGCATGAGCAACTTAGTGAGACCGCATCTCTACAATAAATTAAAAAATTAGTCAGATATGGTGGCCCACACCTGTAGTTCCAACTAATTTGGAAGGCTGAGGCAGAAGGATCACCTGAGCTCAGCAGATCGAGGCTGCAGTGGCCAGGAGCAGGCCACTGCACTCCTGCCTTGGTGACAGAGGGAGACTCTGACTTAAAAAATAAAAAGAAGCCAGGCTCGGTGGCTCAGCCTGTAATCCCGCACCTTTGGGAGGCTGAGGTG